AAGCCCAGCCGAAGCCAGGATATTGTGGTATGCTGCATCTCCCAATTTGATAATCGTGCACTTGCAAGATCCAACAGTCATCGTGTCAGCAGGTAGATGTCGTGTGTGCGTGCGTGCTCGAACCGACACTATTGTGGGGTTCAGTGGGGCCCGAATCGGCACTAGAGTCGGCAGCCCTGAATAGTGCCGGACTGGCACCATTCAGGGCGGGTCCTGTGCGCCGAGATTTGACCGGCACTACACCGGCAACCGGCACCTTTCAACCGGCACTAAATAGGGACCTCTACTGTACCGGGAACCGCTCAAAAATTACCGCCATATTGCGTGACCGCCCAAAAAGTACCGCCAACAAACGAAGTACCAGGAATCGCCTAAAAAGAACCGCCGTATTGCAGTACCGCCGCACAAGTACCGCCGTGCTGCAGTACCGCCAAAAAAGTACCGCCATACTACAGTATCGCCGTAAAAGTACCGCCATGTCGCCCGACTCGTGTGAATTCCCGTCGCATCTGTGGGAGATATGCATTCTAGTGGGGATACTGCTGTGGACGATGGTATGCGAACAACAGTGGTTCGAGGCCACCTCCCCTACCTTTTTTTCTTTTTTTTCGTCTTTCTCTTTCGTACTTCTATTTGACTACAATTGTATGTATTTGTTTTATATATATATTGGTTCTGTCGTGTTCCTTTTTATTTTGGGTCTCTCGTGTTCCTTTTCGGTAGAACCCCTTTTATCATTTCTATTCGCCGTCAGGGTGGGTCCTACGTAATTTTTTTGGACTCGAACATCGAACATCGAACAAGCGGTGTAATCATGTGATTGGCCAGGAAGATCCAACAGCCCAAAGAGATGTTCGGGTTTTCGAGTTTTTGTACGCCGGATCTTCCAGGGGCGATTCCGCCTAAAACTCTAACATCTTTCCACAAAAACTCGAAAACCTATACCTAACCTACAGTCCCGTGGACTATTGGGACCGAATTGGCGACAAAAAAGAAAACCCGCACGCATGCATCACGCACGTGCACCCAACACACACCACCAAAAAACACAATCTCGGGGAGAGGGAGAACGACAGAGAGGTTTGCAGGACAGCAACAGCAATACCCATGTCTGCACAGAGCGACGACGAGTTTGCGCTGGATCCCAGGGCCCCGCGTGCACAAACGGGGCCAGGTGTGAGGTTAATCACACGGGGGTTCCTTCCCGTCGCAACCATACAGCATTGCTGGACAGCCAAACAGCTGCAGCAGTGTTGGTGTGAGTCGACAGGGTCCCGCGGCAACGCATGTGGGCATCAGGCCGCAAGTGATGCCGGGGTTCCACCCCGCGGCTTCGAGCGCTAGCTACTATCAACCGGTGCTGTTTTTGCTGGTGGGGCTGCTTCTTGTGCTCCTCCTCCTGGCGCCGTCCCTGTTCCTCGACACTCGTATCTTTTCGAGAGTCGAGTGCCCTTGGGTTTTCCGGGCGTGGTCCAACAACGCGGGCTGTTGAACGCAAAAACGTGTGTGTGTGGGATTTTTTTTCACGCTTTTTTGCAAATTTCAATGGACCCAAAAAGTCGAACTTCGAACTATCCGCTTGTTCGATGTTCGATGTTCGACTTTTCCAAAAATTACGTAGGACCCACCCTCAGCCGTCAGCTGTTCGCCGTGATGGGTGCCTCCTGCCCACACGAGAAAAAAAAAAAATGCGGCGTAAGACCACTGTTTATGGCAAAAAAATCTTGATCTTCCTCTCTTTCGACAAATGTTGAATTTTTCGACCTTTTGGGCAGTCTGCCTCCCGAACGAGTGCGAATCAGCTGTTCGACCTTTGAGAACAGTCACAGCTTTGGCTGAGATGTCTACAGATCGCCTACATGTTTCGCCAGGGTTCACATTTGATTTTTTTCCAGCAGAGCAAGATGTTGAAGATTCGGCCGAAAGGCCACCTCGGAGCAAATCTTGGGCCAAGATCTGTCCAAAAGCTGGTTTTGGAAAAATCTTGCGTGAAAATTGTGAACCTTGAAAAAATCAAACGTGGACCCTGGCGAAACATGTAGGCGATCTGTAGACATCTCAGCCATAGCTGTGACTGTTCTCAAAGGTCGAACAACTGATTCGCACTCGTTCGGGAGGCAGACTGCCCAAAAGGTCGAAAAATTCAACATTTGTCGCAAGAAAGGAAGATCAAGATTTTTTTGCCATAAACAGTGGTCTAACACTGAGTCTCTGTAGCCGAGACAAGATGAGACGCGAGTGTTGGGGCTATTGTATCGATGAGAGAGCTTGGGGCTCACCATTAAACAAGGATCAACGTCAACCCCTCTTCGAAGCTCCCGCAGTAGCGTGTGCCGCGGGCCGATGCTTGGCGTGGAGGTTGGTGCGAGGCCGCTGACAGCGCGGCGAGACTGTCTTGGCGGCGGACCATTCCAGGTATCCGCGGTGCGCCTCGGGCACGCAGTCTGGCACTGGAGATCCCCCGGCATGTTCATAGTGGACACCCCTTGTCCCGGCTTCTCTTGTCCCTCCCACTCTCTATCTTTGTCTGGAGTGGAGTCTGGAGTCTGCGACGGCTCGCTGCGTCGGTGGGTATCACACTCTGCTGCTGCAGTTTTCTTCGTAACTGATGTATCTCCAGGTATCCTGCAGAACCAAAAACCACGGAACCCCCACCGCCCAACGAACCCGCAATTGCACCGCAAAAAAGTCAACTCCAGACGCACACAAGAACATCACACAACAAAGAGGCTGGCGCGCAATAAACAGGTGGGCACGTACGGTCAGTGCCTTGTTTGATTCCTCCTCGCATTCTGTGCATGAGGGAGAGGTTGACAGTGGGCAACGGGAGCGAGTTGTCGTATTGGCATCAACACGTAGCGACATTAAATTGCTGTAGGTCGCCCCAGGTAACCGTCCAACATCTCTATCTCTGCGTGCTCCACAAGACGCGTTGCACACATCCTCTCACTCTTGTGTTTCTAGGGGGATGACACGTCAATGTCGTTGGGTAGCCGAACATGTCATTTTTCACTCCTTTCCTGTGACCAAATGGTGCCCACATCTCACCCCGTGGGTGAAATGATCGTTCGTCCAGCAGAACGAAACGGCAGCTACAGCTATGGCGTTTGAGAAGGCATTCACACCCACAACAAATACCGCGGGGACAGGGCAGCAGCAAGCAAAATTGACCGACACCCCTGGGGAGATCCAGCGAGTGCATCTCACCAGCACAGCAGATAGCATTTTGAAGACAGAGCAGCTGGAAAGCCTTTGCCCGAGAGCCCAGAAGCTTGGATCCCTTCCCACCACATCAATAGAGGGCTTGGAGAAAGAGCAAAAGCCAGCCACGCTGGCAGCGGGGGTGTCTCGAAGGGCCCGAAGCGTTGAGGTTGTGCTGGAAAACGCGGGAAGAGGGGTTGAAGTGGCAGGCGACTGCTCTTTGCAGCGCCGACTTGAGGTTGCCAAGATGGGAAACGCGCTTAGCCGGCAGGAGTTGAGTGAGGTGAAGGAAAAGCTTGCAAGGGCGTTGGATGTGACACGTGACGGCGGGCGGCGCGGAAGCTCTGTCACCACCCACCATGGGAAAGCCGAGGCGTGGCGAAGTAGGCTGTCGAGACTCGTTTCCTGTCCAAGGGCCGCTTCAACCCCACGGCAGGAGGCAGAGGCACGTTTCGAGGCGCGGCTGGTGACGTTTATCGCAGCGTCAAACATGGCATCGCCTGAACGGGCAACACGTGTTTTCTGCGGGCATCGCAAGTCTCAGCTAAAGCATACCCGGGAAGGGTTTGGGTCTTTATCGACGCCCGACAAGCGCATCAAGGATGCCCGACTCCCCGCGTGGACCCTTGTGGTTGTTGCCATAGCAGCGGGAACGGTGGCGTCGCTGGTGACTGCGCGTGTGGTGGCACCTCCCCCAGGTTTCGGATCCCTCGAGAGAATGGCAAAGGAAGAGGCCGGCTTCGACAACTGCAGTACAACCTACCACAGCCTTGGAAACCTCCCCCCTTCCACTGCTGGCAGGATTAGCCTTAGCGGTGCCTTGAGCGAGGGCACTGGATACGAAGAACATGTCGAACTTTCGTCGGGACCCAAACATGAAAACGATCGCGACGGTGGTGGACACCCCGATGCGGCAATCATAAGGTATGGTGCTAGTCTCCGCGAGACAGTCATGGATGACGACACGTGCCGGGGTATCGGGCACGCGGACTTCTACAGTATATTCAACAATATGTGCGTCGAGGCTGAGGAAATGAATGCTACAGGAAGTGACGCCGCAGATGGCAACGGGCGCAGGGAGGAAATGACCCCGCAGATATTGGACTCCGAACGGGATTTGAAGATTGTGAACGAGGGATGGTTTCTCGAGCGGATCCACGGGGCCAAGGTGCGAACGATATTTTTGGTGTGTTGTTATGAGACGAACATGATCAAATTTTGATGTTGCCACCTTTACAGACTCTTGCCCGGCCATCTATTTCCCAAAATCTATCTCCACAGCTACCAGTGGACCGGTCTTTCTCCGTGAACTTGTATGTCAACCTAACACAGAACACGGTGTTGACGCAGTTCGTTATTCGCAGAAGGGCCGCATGTTAATGCAGGAGTATCTCTATTGGAGTAGGCCAGCAGGAAAAGCGGTTGTGCACCTCGTTCTGAGACTAGAGTATCCTCTGCTGGGTACACATCTAAATGCTGGGTGGCCCGTTCCCCTACGAAAATGTCCTTACGGAGACCTTCCACCCCTATTCGCTCGTTCATGCGAATCGGTATCGGAGGAGCAAACTAAAGTGAAGTAAACACGGTTGCGATTGACAGTGAAACCGCTTATCAGGATATCTGTGAAGCTCTCCGCAACTGATCTTCGAATCACGCAGAACCACACCATTATTGCATCCCCTCAGGGTAAGGAGTTATTCGCGATTCTCTCCTAAGACAACTTTGCTGGCAAACGTCGATCGCAAATCCCCATGCCGCGCTGGTTTGTTTCCCACAGGACTTGCTTCTCCTTGTCGTATTCGGCGTTGCCACAAGAAGGTATTGGCAAAGAGGTTACGGTTGACAACAACTCGTGGCCTGAGCACCTACCCGGGCCTACTCTGATTTATGTGGATGGAGCTATACTTTCACGCCAGACCGCGTGCTGATTCTGCTTCTCAGAGCATGCAAACTGGAGGGAAAGTGTTTACGAGTCCCATTGAGACCATGTCATCGGGTTGTGCAGCACTACATAGGAGCATACGAAGATGGATTCCTCGGAAGAACTCACTCCGCGTTGGTGCTATTATTGTACAAGTAAAGCGGGGAGCGTTGGGTAGGGGTAGGAGTAGGGTTAGAGTTGGTGAACAATCACTTGGACAGCACTGAACCATTGTCAAGGAGCGTTGGGGTGCATGTAATGCCATCTAACCCTCAAGCAAGGTGAATTGTGGCACATGATAATTTTTGTTATGATATCAATATGATATCTGAGGCCTGCAACGGTGCGCACTCACTTGCTGGTCCGTAGGTTGTGCGGCCATATATCGCAACCAATTTCCTACGGTTGTTCTCGAGGGAGTGCCAGTGTTTCAGGTTCGGTCGCGATTTTGATATGAAAGTAGATGAATGTCGCACCAACTCATAGTGAACGTCAACGACACATTTCGGCCACATTCGCATCGAGCAAGGATACGGGCTCCGGTGGTTCGGATGAATTCCATTCCACAAATTCGAAGTGCAATAGGCCATGAGTGGTGGGCCTTATTTCCTCCTTTCCAGTTTTCCCCGCATGCATGCTCGCTCGGTATATGTAGTTGCGTCAACTATCGCCAACGACGCTAAAAAGCTACCAAACTTCAAGTGCAGACGTCTGCTGTGCCAATCCTAGGACGGATAGAAGTGGACCACATCCCGAGCAGAACAATATATGAACCGTATTGTCATCAAGTCCAGCAACTCACAACCTACGAAAGGTTGGTGGCGCAAAATCATGAAATCATGAGGCGGAAAGGAGGTGTTGCCTCATTTCCCGCCACCGTCGGTAAAGAGCACGAGCACAAGCTAGAAACATATAGATGGAGCACGAAGGCCCTATTCAAGCACCCCTGTGCTGCAGATGTATCACCACGAATTCATTCGATAAGACCTCGAAGCGAAAATGGTGCTCACAGCCTGCGGTGTAAAGTGAAGCGACGTTCCGCGCCATTCATTCCGTACATGACTCTAACTCACACTGTTTTTGGTTTTGGAGCTCAGGTAGAGAAGACCACGCAACACCCACATCGCGCGGAAAGGCCCACTATCGTCGACTGTAAATCTTCAAGACCTTCTTAGTCTACAGAAGCTGAATATCCTGCCAACAGATGCATGATGTCCCAACGGCACCCACCGTTTTTGTTCGACCAACCTGTCTCGCGATATACCATCCAAAGAATTTGCAGGACAAATGAACTAATACCTCATCCAGGTCGAAATGCACATCCTACAGTATGTAGACACGTCGGAGATTTCTGGCTATCCCGACACGGGTTCCGTCAACCCTCATCTTCTCTCCCGAGTCCATTTCTGTTCAGCAACCACGTGCCCCACCAGCTAAGAATCGTTTAGTCATGTTCGACGACGGGCCACGATGAAGCTTTGGCATGCTACTCTCCTCACCAGCCCCCCCGACGCGTCTGTATAGCGACCGGATCTCACTTCATAATGTTGCCACTTGCTGTCGCACGGAATAAATTCAGTCGATAGGATATGGATTGGTGCAAATTGTCTGCATCAATTCGTTTCCATTCCACCATATTCAAGACCGATAGTCTAGTTAGCAGTTGCTTTCGCTCACAACAGATTCACTCGATAGACTATTTAATGGTGCAGGTTGTCTGCAACCGTTCCTTCTGTTTCACCGTACCAGTAGGATCGTAAGGATCATGCTTTGAGTCATTGCATATGTTCAACCATAACGCCTTACATAACATTTGCCATGAATGATACGATAGTCTTGTCACCAGGAAATACGAGGCATTGCCCCAGCCGCCACAGCAGCGTGTCCAAGCGTATCACAGGACAGCAACTACAGACTGCGGGCTACACTGGACACATCGCAAACTACATCCGTGGACGTACCCTCAGCGGCATCACAGATAGCTTACAACCCTCCGGACGACACCCTCCTCTCCCAAATCCATCAGCCAGGCTGTCACACCGGCCCACTCGTAGCGAAGCGCACCATCATCACCTTCGCCGCAACCCGCAGTCGTGCGGCTGCGCTGGGCATTGGCGGCGTCCTTCTCCTCGACAAGCTTGCTCACAAGGCGAGCACGGCTCCATTTGGTTGCCGCCATGTTCCCATGCTCTTCGCTGACTTGCTGTTGCCACTGCACCCTATCGGGATGAGCACGGCACAAGACCAGCAGGCCGCGACGGCGCCAGGCTCTGTCGGCGGGGGCATTGGCCCAAGAGCTGTTGGACACGTTGCTGTTCTCTGGTGGCACGCTGATATTCCTGGACGCCGTGCCCAACCGATCCGAATTCCAGGATATACACGCCAAATTGTCCGGCTTTCTGGCCACTGCCGTCTGTCATACCTTCGTCAGCGCCCCACTTCAAGAGGAAATCTACCGTCTCCGCGGCACGGTGCCTTGCAGGAAACGACGCTACCGTGAACAGGGGGGTCTTTTGGTGTTTGCCATATTCACTCCAGCCCCATGCCTCACCAGGGCGAGAGCGGCTTGGAGATGGCGCCAGAAAACCGCCACACGAAGAGGTGCATCCCCTCCGATGTTCGTTCGATTGACGTTTGCTCCTGTATTGGCAAGGGCATCGATCACCTGTGCGGAACCTCCGCAAGCGGCACAATGTAGGGGTGTGGAGCCGTCCGCGTCCGCCGTGTTCACAGCCACCCCGTGCTCAATCAACATCTTCACGACTCCTGCACGGCCATTGCAGGCAGCCGCCTGCAGGGCAGATGTTCGAAAGGTGCCGAAGCGAGCGTCAAGGTCAGCTCCAGTAGTTAACAGGGCCCCTGTCACGCTGACGTGGCCGGCTTGGGCTGCAACATGCAGAGCTCGGCGTCCCACACCGTCCTGCGCCTCGAGCACAGCTACCTTGAGGAGAAGTAGCTGCACCATCCCCACCTCGCCTGCACCCGCAGCGATGTGGAGAGCGGTGGAGCCGCATTCATCCTTGGTGCCAGCAGGTGCTGTATTTTCCAGGACATTTTCAACTATGGGCATGTAGCCATACCGAGTAGCCTCGGGCAGTAACCCGGCCCACGCCACCACTTCATAGCAGCGCTCTTGCCCCCTAGCCTATTGTTCACGAGACGTCGCATGCTCTGGAACCGGATCGACCGTACGCGTAGCCATGATCTTGTCCAACAGTTTCTCTCGGCGTCGTGTGCTTGCCAAATTGTCAGTGCTCCGTATGAGAGCGCCAGACCCTCTCAGTGTCTGTCTCGTAGTCTCTCCCCTCTCCCCTCCTCGAGAGACACCGCAGCACAGAGTTCCGTGTATCAAAATGTTTGTGACCGTCCCCACCCAATCCATCTATAGACTATACCAGCTGTGCCCCCCCCATCACAAAAAAAAGTACATACATTTTATATCTTGAGGAGCACGAATCTGGATGGTCGTAGTTGTCCGAAAAAGTACAATGAACAGTGAAGTACTCGACATGCACTGAAACACGTGTAGTACACGTCTTACGACGAAAAATTGGGGGACTGACGCCATAATGTGTACACGTTTCACAGCTCTTGAAGATGCCGCTACCTAGAAAGTCCCAAGAGAGGCCAACCTCACATTGAATGAATACTTATACCTAACTAGTAGCTTGTGTCTTGAGGCTCCCGATATGTTCGGCAAGAAACAATGCGGTCTCGACGAAGGTTGATAGATGTACCAGTTCAATAAACAGGAGCTTCAGACAACGCTTGATGTTGTGATCCTCTTCGAACTGTAGACAGACACTGTGAGGTGCGTGCTGTAGGCATTTATGTGAGGTGCGCGTATTTTTGAATCAAGTGAAGGCACACGTTGGCAAGATGGCTTCGGCAAAACGCAGCAGCACCAGCAGGCCGAGCTAAGCCTTAAATAACTTCTCTGCGCTTGCTGTGTAGTGAAAATTCATTTAGCTTTTGGTTGTTGCGCCACTGCGGGCCCTCATAGGTACAGGTATTCCGGAGAGGTCAAAGATAAGTCGATTGCTCCAGGCAGCCCGATTCTGCTTCCTCCACCTACACTTGTGAACTGGTTCCCAACGAGCGACACGGGGGTGTACAGTAGTGCCGCGACAGCACCGCAGCATCGAAAACAGCAGCCCGCAACCCTGCACTAGCGGTAGGTTTGCAGCGTGTGAAATAGTGTTTCTATTGCAGCTGTGCGTACACCGCGTTCATTCAATTAGCAAAGCAAGACGGGGACAAAGACTGCAAGCTTCGCCTACAGAGTGATTGAAGCCTCTGCAGATAATCTGAATCAACGGAGAGGACGAGCGCACGAAAGTTTCCACGTACACCCACGGCACGACAAAAGGAAGCCCGAAAAACTTTCGCCAGGAGTTCGCAACGTCCCCTGCGCCAACACAATTGCAACGAATCATAGAATGGACCACCGACAATATCGGGTTCAACGTTCAACCCTGTTGAGACCGCGGTACACCGAGGCAACTTCCACGCGAAGACAGTGATTCTGCTCTTTCTGCCGGCAAATTTCGACTGAAAGCACCACCGTTATTCAGAGTCTGTGCCCACCCGCTGATGAACGAAATCCGCAACCCCAGACTACCGGACGCAGCCAATATGCGGCATTACCTACTGCAAGTCGCTGGACGCGGCCAATGATGCCTGCTGGCTGGTCAAGAAAGAACGTGCCAGGACCCCTAGAACAGCGCTGAATACGGCGGTTGTTCGCAACCACGAAAATGATCCATACTTGTTTACAAACACGGGGTCGAGAAACGAACCACGCTTGCCCAGGGCCGCGTGAGAACGCAGCCCGAAAATGAGACTGATATGTTTACAAGGAGAGGCAACAACACGCAACACACTCAAATATCTGCCCGCAAGACAAGACGTTGCCCGGCCGCATGAAGAAACGACTCCCCCGCATGTGCGAGTGAGACCCACACGCCCAACCGTTTCCGTCAGCGTGCAGAGCCCCACGCAGAGATGGCGCTGGACACCTCCTCGACGTCCTGGATAGAAAAACCATGTGGCAAGGAAGGCAGTGCCGAAGGGGGCTGAAAGTCACGCAAAGGTTGTGTAGCAAATAAAGACATGGAACAAACAGAGGTGCGAGCGCAGGCGACTCCTCAAAGGGATGACGAGAAACAAGTTGCTCTCGGCAGAGACGCGGAAGCCTGTACAATGGTAGCAGTAATCAAAAATGGACGTGCCGTAGCCGGCAGTTATGTGTATGTTCATGGATGACAGAGCACATACAGAAGTTGTCGAACGCACGGTCATCCTTTGCGGATGGCTTTCACGAAGTCGTCTTGAGCCCTTGTGGGAGTTGCAACGCGGGGGCAGCGATCCTCTGGGTCAACAACCAACCGGGGTATCAAAAGGTAGTGATACCCTGTACTGTTGTGCGCATGAAGGTACTGGGACTTGAAGCTCGAACTCCTGCATCACAAGGCAGGGCCTCAAACGCGGTACACATCGATAACCCACACGCCGGAGCCGCACGAAAGACGACATGACCCCACCCACATCGTCGTCGTCTCGACCCCTGCGGCTGCTGCTGCCGGCCGAAGCCGTCGCCCAGGCCGGCAGTCGCCGCTTCTTCGCCCCGCCCCTCCCGCCAACGGCCGACGATGCCTCCGACACCTGAGAATCCCCCGCAGAAGTAGCGGCGGCCGCGGCAGGGCGCTTCCTTCCGCGCGACATCGTCGCCGGGGCGGCTCGGGACGACCTTGCGGCTCGTTCCGGGGGCGCCTCCGCCGCCTGCGGGGGGGGGTGGGGGGTACACCACCAATTCACGGGATTTCGACGAAATGGGGGTGCCCTCGTTAGCGGTGAGGCCCAGAAGACTATTGGCCGTGCGACTACATAGGTTGTAGCCGTGCGACAACATAGGTTCTAGCTGATACTAACGCTGTCGACCGTGCCGATTGGAATGGGGCGGACCCTTCCAGAACAAAAATTGACGTCGCGACCATGGCCGACAACGCCCACTGTCCAAGCAGTGTTGACCCATATGCACTGTCCAAGTAATGTTGACCCATAGGAAAACTGCGGGCACGGAGGAGGGGGGTGAGTGGAAAAAATCAAAGTGAAAACCACCACGAAATTAACCGTCCAACGCAGCCAATACCCTAGCCCGCGACATCAACCCCGGCGGAATCGCTTGGACCCTCTCACCCTCTCGGTACCCCCTTCTCTCCCTTGCAAACAACACACTGCACGGGAACGAAAATCGCACGGAACACGAACTCTCCCTGGCCTACCCGGTGTGGCTCGGCTTTTGGTCGGGGTGCGGCAACCAGCTAGAAAAGCAACCACCTAGAAAAGCAACCACCGGACACGCCTCGCTGCTGCTTGCGGGGCGCTTCTTCCTGTACCTCGCCCGCCCTCTCAGCACAACAGCGCCTTGTCCTGCCTGGCTGCAACTTGAAGCAGCCAAAGATGAAGGTCGATCAGCTTCCTACACTCCAACTACGATCAACGCAAGCTATCTCACCTTGCTTTTGCTCTTCTTGCCCCTCCCCCTCCCCACCGCCTCCTCCTCGTCGTCCACCTCGAACTCCGACGCTTCATCACCATCACCGTCATCCACGAACCCCTCATCATTGTCATCATCGATCTCGACGGGGTTGAAGCTGTCGGTGCCTCCGCCGCCCCTCCTTCTCGCCGGCGCCACCTCATCCAGCTTTCCCAACAAGAAACAGAACGGGGGCGGTCAACGCGTCGTCGCACGGGGCACGCAGCAATGGAGCTGGAATTGTTTCGAGAAACCAGGAACGCAGTCACGCATATAATGCCATCACACAAAAGACACATCAACCGTCCTCGTCCCCCGTCAGCGGAGGAGAGGCGCTAGCAGCAGTCGCCGTTGAAAACCTGGAGAGGGGATGGCCTCGACGCCAATACAGACCTCACGTTAGTTCCGAACATCAGGCGCCACCCACGCTTCTTTGATATCTAATGGTGTCAAAAAGAGTAGCCCCGAGGACACAAAGAAGCCAACGATAGCATTTAGCCCGAAAAAGTAGTAGTAGAGCCATCATTTCGCTGCCGCTGTTTGTGGCCCAACCGCCCTGCAGGTTCCCAGTCGTATCACACCTTCCACCTGGTTCACACACACAAGCGGCGCCTCCTCGATACACTCTCCGTTCAATATTGCCAAAAAAAATCAACGCAAATTTCGAACAAGCTGTTCACGTTCTGGCCCCAATGCGGAAGGGCCGGACAGAAAAAAACAAAGCACGCAACTTTGAAACAATACGAGCTCATACTCGCCGGGAACAAACGAAAACAACCTATTCATGCCAACCTTCGAATGGACAGCACAAAAAAACATTAAACCGTGGACATGAACCAGCTAAGCTTCATCCAATACCTCGCTGCTATCATCCCCGTCATCCTCCCGGTAGCTAACCCTAGCACGCCCGGCCCCGCGGGCGCTGGGTCTTCGTCCCGCCGGAGCAGGCTTTTGCGCTGCCCCCGCCGCCGCCTCCGCCCCGCGCCGTCGAATGCTGGTGGCGGTGGATGCTTGGGCGGGAGCAGCAGCTCTCGATCCCCTACCCCCGCTGGACGCACCCCCCCGCTTGTTGAAGGGCGTTTTGCTTCTGGGCTGGTCGAAATCGTCGTCATCGTCGTCGTCGACGTCATCGTCCTTGTCGCTGCCGTCTGCTAGGCATATTGCTGCCGCCTGGGGGTACGTAGACCGAAAGGGGGGGTTAACATCTATCACATATACGAAACAAACGTGTTGTTTTTGCTTCGATAGTATACAAAACTGAACCAAAGCAATTCATTTGGAGATGGGGAAAATGATCTTCCAACCTCACCAAGAGGGATGCCGCTACCACCGGGGTTATGCCCTCTGATGTGTTTGCCCAAACTCTGGCGTAATATGACGTCATGCATCCCGTATGCCGTATCCTAGCACACCGCAAGGAGGAGGAGCGCAAGAGAAGCGCGATGGGCTTGGTAGAATAAAGAGACAAGCCACAGATCGAAAGCGCACAACACGAGAAAAGAAGCCCGCACAGGCGGACGAAAAAAAACGTCCAGCATTGATATCGGCAACACTTGTGAAGCACACCCGAAATCCCTCCAACATCAACCAACTACACACCATGGTTGCGTTTTACCAGAGGAGAGTGGCATACGGCCCACCTTCTACTGCTTTCGACGCCTGCTGCAAGACAAGTGCACACGTCCGATCGATGTAGGCGATCTAATCACTCCCCCCCCCCACCCCCCGGTCATGCTAGACGGAGAACTGTCAAAATTCTTCGACATTGAGCAGGGGGTCCCACAAGGTTGCACGCTGTCCCCAACATTGTTCCAGGTGTTCATCAACGATCTGTTGGAAGTCGTAGAGGCAGTTCGGAAGGGAGTAAAAGTAGGGGACACGGAAACGTCGGTTTCAGGAATGCTGTTTGCGGATGATTTTGTAGGTATGTCGGACACCCCTGAGGGACTGCAACTGCAAATTGACGCGGCGAAGAAGTTTACTGATAAGTGGAGATTGTCTGCCAACGTT